ACTCACTCACACTCACGCACGCACGCACGCACACTCACTCACTCACTCACTCACGCGCACGCTCACACACACACAGCAGCTGAGCGCGGGAAATCATCGCAACACACACATCACGTGACCGACTCACCTGAGCCCGCAGGTCCGCGTCATCGCGCTCCTCTGACGCGTCCATCTAATTCAACACATGCATCGCTGAGCTGAGAAGAGTTAAAGACACAGTTACAGTCTTTCTGACTCGTTAATATGTATAATCATATACTGTAACTATCGATGGAGGCAGTAGAGCAGTAGAGTCATGTGTTCAAAGTGTCAGTAAAGCACGTGTGATCTTACAGGAGGAAAAACTCCAAAACAACTCACACTCAGCGCTGTTCACACGCGTCAGAGCCACTCACAGCGCTTCCGGGTTAGAGCATAGTCACGTGGGCGCCACATTTTTGAATATTGTTTTTGCGTCATTTGAATATTAAAATAATAGGATAAAATAATAATTTTTAATTTTTATTATTTATTATATTTAATAAATTTAATAAGTATATATATATATATATATATATATTGCTACATTGAATTGTTGATGTTTAAATAAATAAATGTTATATTTGATCATTAATTTTATAGAATAAAGTATTATATATAATTACTATATTTGTGTGTTTGATTATTAATATTATTACATTAAATTTTGTCATTTAGCAGATGCTTTTATTCAAATCGACTTGCAAATGAGGACAATAGAAGCATTTTTATTATTATTTTATTATTATCATTAAACAAACTGTCTGCTAAATGACTAAGTGTAAATGTTTTTGATTATTAATGAAATCATACAAAAAAAATCAATATATTTGATAATAAATATTATGCTAATACTACTTATTTTAATAATGCATTCAAATTATTATATTATTATTATTATTATTTATTATTATATTGTAAAATAATGTTTCATTTATCACTAAATTAATATATTAAATATGATATTTTGGTTCAATTTTAAATTCTTATTATTATTAAATGCGATACCTTAATATATATATATATATATATATATATATGCTGACAATAATACTTATTTTATAGTTTAAAATGTAAAATATTATTACAATTATTTGTATTAAAGTTTTGTTTATTGTCATATCTATCTTTCTCTATCTCTCTCTCCATCTATCGATCTACGGCGATGGACGTCGAAATAACGCTAATGAGCCAAGCCCCACTGCCAGCCAATGAAAACACGGCATTCAAAAGCGTCACCAATCAGCCACTAGCAGAGAGTTGCCTCATTAATTATTCATGACATGCCAATGTTGTTCCACCTCACGCGGGCTGGCGGAGGAGAAAAACACGCCGCGAAAGAGTGAAGATCGTCGCCATGGCGACAGCGATTTATCTCGAACATTATCTCGACAGTGAGTAGAATTCATTTCGGGAGCATTACGATGGATTTAACGGCATTTTAGGCGGGATGAAGGCGTCTTGAAAGGCCCAGTTTGAGGATGTTTTGGTGGCTAATGTCAGATTAGCATTAGCGAGCTGCAGCTAGTAACGTTAAGCCAACAGGTTGATTAGCTTCATGTCGACTCTATGAAACGGCGTAAATCTAATTTATTATTTTATGTAGTTGTTAGGTCATTATATATACATCTACTGTAAAGCCACGGCAAGTTGTAAACACAGGACAGAAAGTAACGTTAGTTAGCCAGCATGCTAACAACATGCTAAGTCAACAGACTCATGTTGTTGTAATGTAGTGTGTGTATGGAAAGAACACGTGTTTAATATAAACAGACAGGTTTCTGTATGTTTTCTGCTTCAGAATAAAGAGAGGACAGTGACTGACTCAATCCAGAACTTTCCTCGTGTATGTAAACAACATATTAAATGATGAATGTGTTTCTTTTATGACCCTAGGCATTGAAAACCTGCCCTGTGAGCTCCAGAGAAACTTCACACTCATGCGGGAACTGGACAACAGAGCCGAGGGTGAGATGACTCTCAAATCCTAGTGTGCTGTCTACCTAGGGAGCATTTCTGGGCATCATTGGAACATTAAATATGATTTACAAAAAACACAACTTGGGTGGAATGGATGGATGTGTTTTTATGTGAATATGTGACAGTTTCTTCTTCTTCTGTTGCAGAAAAGAAATGTGAAATCAATAAGCTCGCAGAAGAATACATTAAAAACGTCCGAAATCTGGCTCCGGATCAGAGAGTGGAGCACCTGCAGAAGATTCAGAACGGATTCAGCAAATGCAAAGAATACAGCGACGACAAAGTGCAGCTCGCCATGCAGACGTACGAAATGGTCAGTAATCCAGTTTAGATGCGAGTGACTTTAATCACCTTTGGGTGGAAACCTGGAAATATTACAATATTTTTTAATTAATTCATTCATGTGAATTAATTTTTAATTTGTGATTTCAGGATTTTCTATACTGAAAATGCCTCTAAATGTTTATTGTTGGCAAAAATCATAGAATAGGCAATTTTTTCTTGTAGTAAACAATGTTCTGTTAATTTTTATATTCAGATCTGAAATATTTAATTGAGTAAAAAATGTTTTGATGTCAAAAATCATAGATTTTTTTTAATAGTAAATATAATTTTATGTGTTTTATACTCGGCTCTAAAATATTGAGTAAAGACTTTTATTGTCAAAAATCATAGAATTTTTATTTATGGTCAATAATAATTGTCTGTATCTTATACTCAGCTCTGAAATATTAAATTGAGTAGAAATTGTTAAAAATCATTCAAATTTTTATAGTAAATATAATTTTCTGTATCATATACTCGGCTCAAAAATATTAAATTGAGTAGAAAAATTGTATTGCCAAAAATCATAGAATTTTTTTAATAGTAAACATAATTATCTATTTTATACTCTGCTGTAAAATATGTAATTGAGCAGAAACTGTTTTATTGTCAAAATGATACAATAGGTTTATAGTAAATATAAAATCTGTATTTTACACTCATTGAGTAGAAACTGTTGTATTCCCAAAAATCAGATTTATCCAATATATTTTTGGTATTTTATACTCGGCTCTAAAATATTTAATTGAGTAGAATTTGCAATTTATAAATGCAAATAGGTATATGATTTTTAGTTGAACTTCATTTAGGCAATAAATAAAATTTAGTTTTGACATTTTATCCGAAATCAAAATGAAATTAGACTAAAGTATTTCTTGCTCTCTGAATCATGATAAACAGAAAGATGTTTATTTAATAAATAGTCAATGACTAATGTGTTTAAATAGTTTGATTCAAATACTGTACGTTTGCATTGGGAATCTGCATTCATTTTGTTCTTGGTATTATTATAAAAAAATAACGTGAGCCTTCTCTCACCAGGTGGACAAACACATCCGAAGGCTGGATGCCGATCTCGCTCGCTTTGAGAATGAGCTGAAGGAAAAGTTGGACGTCAGTGGCTACGAAAGTCCAGACAACAGAACGGCCAAGAGTAAGACAGACTGTGGCTTGATTTGGCCAAATATAACATATGTCACAATCAACATGATGTACGAGGAGAATAAAACCAAACTGCTGTCCTTCGTAGAAGTAGGCGGTCGAGGAAGCCTGAAGGAAAAACGGCGGCCGAAAGGAAGAGGACGCAAACCCTCAGACGACGACTCGCCACGGAAAAAGAAAACGAAGAACAGGTGAGAGTCGCAGAGCACGAACTTTAGAGGAACAGTTCAACCGCAAATGAAAGCTTATTAGGATGAGTTTGTTTCTTCATCAGATTTGGAGAAATACAGCATTGCATCACTGTCTCACCAATGGAAGTGAATGGGTGCCGTCAGAATGAGAGTCCAAACAGCTGATAAAAACACCACAATAATCCACAAGTAATCCAATTAATCTTGTGAAGCCAAAAACTGCATTTATAAGAAACAAATCCAGCATTAAGACATTTTTAACTCAAATACTATCCATAATAACGCTTCCTCCAGTGAAAAAGTGGTCTGGTCTGAATCAGGAGAGAAATCTGCACAGATCAAACAGCAGTCCAAAACAGCTCTAAACAAATATGTGACCCTGGAGCACAAAAGCAGTCTTAAGTCGCTGGGGTATATTTGTAGCAATAGCCAAAAATACATTGTATGGGGGAAAATTATCCATTTTTCTTTTATGCCAAAAATCATTAGGACATTAGGTAAAGATCATGTTCCATGAAGATATTTTGTAAATTTCCTACCGTAAATATATCAAAACTTAATTTTTGAATCATTAGTAATATGCATGGCTAAGACCTTCATTTGAACAACTTTAAATGTGATTTTCTCAATATTTAGATTTTTTTGCACCCTCAGATTCCAGATTTTCAAATAGTTGTATCTCGGCCAAATATTGTCCTATCATAACAAACCATACATCAATGGAAAGCTTATTTATTCAGCTTTCAGATGATGTATAAATCTCCCTTATGACTGGTTTTGTGCTCCAGGGTCACATATGTGGGTTGATGTTATGTGGACTTTTTCACTAGAGGAAGCGTTATTATGTTTTATGGACTTGGAATTTTAGTTAAAAACGTCTTAATGATTGATTTGTTTCAGCTTTTCTCTTCTCCAGATGTTAACTGATGGACTGGAGTGCTGTGGATTATTGTGATGTTTTTATCAGCTGTTTGGACTCTCATTCTGACGGCACCCATTCGGATCCTTTGCTGAGCAAGTGATGCAATGCTACATTTCTTCAAATCTGATGAAGAAACAGACTCAGCTACATCTTGGATGTTTACTCAAAAATACAGGTTTGAAGTGACATTTACGTTATTTTCTCGTCTCCGCAGCCCTGAGTTCTCTGAATCCATCCTTCCAGTTCACCCGTCAGACGTCTTAGACATGCCCGTTGACCCCAATGAGCCCACATACTGCCTGTGCCACCAAGTGTCATATGGAGAAATGATCGGATGCGACAACCCAGACGTACGACGTGACGCTTTAAACGGTTTACTAGCATTTCCTCATAGTATTTATTTAACCAAAATGCCTTTGTTAACAGTGTCCCATTGAGTGGTTTCACTTCGCTTGCGTTGATCTGACAACCAAACCCAAAGGGAAATGGTACGTCAGTCTGTTCACGAGAACCCGGCAATATCTCTGTTTACAACATCAGAAAACAACGTCTCTTTTCTGTCTTCCAGGTTCTGTCCTCGATGCACCCAGGATCGAAAGAAAAAATGAGATGCACATTTGTAACGCTGAGAGATTACATTTCTATATGAATATATACGTATGCATATATATATATATATATATATAGTGGTAAAATAGGATAATATATACTCCTTTATATGGCCATGATGAAATATTCGAGGGTCGCGAGGAAACAAAGTTTTTATTTTTCAAAGTACTTGAAATGTTTCCATATGTTTAAGTTTCATTCTGTGGTGTCAAATTGTCATTTTCAGACAATCTAGGATATATTATATATGATATATATATATTTTTTTTCTTTTTACTTACTGATTAGTATGTATTTAAATTTTTACGAAGCTTCAAGCAAATATCATGTCATTGTGCTTTGCTCGTGAAATGTTTTTAGCGTGGCACAAGTCGTTCGAAAGAATTTAGCGAACTTTTAACACGCTGAATTCAGCAGCAAACATATGATTTGTATTTGCCGTTCTTGCACTTAAAGTATAACGCGACTACTTTTTTTCTGCAACTATCGATTTGCTTTGAAATTCAACTTGTTGTTCGAGCAGAGTGAAATTTTGAAGTGCAAGTGATACGTTTTATTGTTATAACTATGTAATTACAGACGACAATCCAAAATCTCACTCCGCATACGTGCCGTTGTTTAAGTTTCTTTTTTCCCATTCAGATTTTGTTTATCCTTCGCTGTTAGCAAGAATATTTTGCAGAACTGAAAGGAACAGTCCACTATTTTGAAAATAGGCTCATTTTCCAACTCCCCTAGAGTTAAACAGTTGAGTTTTACCGTTTTCTAATCCATTCAGCCGATCTCCGGGTCTGGCGGTAGCACTTTTAGCTGCAGCTTAGCATAGATGATTATTCCTTGATTATTACGCCGGAATGAGAGTATAGTTCCTAGCCATATCGGCCTAGAAAATCACAACTTTTCATTTTCCGTCGGTCTTAGTACACGATGTAACTACAGAAGAGTCAAGTTTTAAATAGGAAAAATATCGAAACTCTTTGGTCATTTTTGAGCGAGATGCTAACGGTCTAATCAGATTCAATGATCTATGCTAAGCTACAGCTAAAAGTGCTACCGCCAGACCCGGAGATCGGCTGAACGGATGCGATTAACGGTAAAACTCAACTGTTTAACTCTAGGGGACTTGGAAAATGAGCCTATTTTCAAAAATAGTGGAGTGTTCCTTTAAAGCGACTAACTACTGTGGAAGCTTGTTTCCACCTCAGAATTAAAAAATAACGAAGTTATTTAACAATTCAGATTTGTTTCTCGCCATTCTCAAAATGTCGCAATTCTGAAGCTGATGTGACAATAAACTTGAATCAAGTCAAGAAGTCATGTCGCAATTCTGCCTTTTTTTCTCATTATGGCGAAAAACAAAGTCTGAATTGTGAGATAAAAAGCCGCAATAATGTTTTTTATTCTGTGGCATGAAAAAAAAACCTAAATTGCGAGATATAAAATATATAAAGTTTTTTCTCACAACTGCGAGTTTACATTTCTCAATTCTTTAGTTTATATCTTGCAGTTGTGTTTTTGTTTTCACCAGGGAATAAAAAATAAAAAGGGTAATTGCGACTTTTTATGCTTTGAGTTTATATTTGGCAATTCTGACTTTTTGTCGCAGTTGCGAGTTTATATCTCACAATTCTTTAGTTTGTATCATAGATTATATATTTAGTTTATAAAAAGCCACAATTACTTTTTATTCTGTGGCAGAAACCAAAAAAGCAATTCTTCTGTTTCTGCTATGTAATAAAAAGTAAAAAAAAAAAAGACAATTGCGACTTTTTAATCATAATTCTGAGTTTATATCTCACAATATTGACTCTTTTGCGATTGCAAGTTTATATGCTTTAATTTGTATCTTTGAATTCTGACATTTTTCTCACAATTGCAAGTTTAATTCCGTGGCACAAAAAAATAGTTTATATTTCTTTAGTTTATATCTCGCAATTGTGTGTGTGTGTGTTTTTTTTTTGCTTCTGCCGCGGAATAAAAAATATAAAAAATGTAATTGTGACTTTTTATCTCGTAATTCTGAGGTTATGTCTCACAATTTAGATTTTTTTTCTTGCAATTGCAAGTTTATATGTCAGTTTAGACTTTTCTCGCAATTCTTTAGTTTCTGTCTCACAATTCTTACTTTTTTCTCAGAATTGTGAGATATAAACTCACAATTGCAAGAAACAAAATCCGATAAAATTTCACAATTACCTTTTTTATTCTGTGGCAAAAAATAATAATTGTGAGATCAATTTTTCTTTCTTCAGAATACCTATCTTTAGTTTATATCTCGCAATTGCGTTTTTTTGCTTCTTCCGTGGAATAAAAAATGTTATTGTGACTTTCTATCTTGTAATAAAAAAATTTTCTCGCAATTGCGAATTTGTCAATTCAGACATTTCTTCTCAGAATTGCGACTTTATATCTCGCAATTCTTTAGTTTCAGAATTGTGAGATATAAACTCATAATTGCCAGGAACAAAGTCCAAATAGTGAGATAAAAAGTCACAGTTAACGTTTCATCCCATGCGCGGAAAGGGGCTAGCATAAACCACCATGTTTCAAACTCCGTCTTGAAGAAGCGTCTTGCTCCAGTTCTGAATGTTTTAAGCGTGTGGTTTTGGCAGTATCTGCCATCATTTCTCCAGCAGCTTTGATGCACTTTTTAATCGACCAGATTTGGCACTTACGGCCAGAACGCTTTCCGATTCAATGCCGTTTTTAATGGCTTTTTTTAAAGGTTGGAAAAGCAAACCAACTGTCAGTGGATCAACCAAAGTGAGATCAAGCGGTGTTAACGCTGCTCTTGTGTTATTTTATCATTCTATATGTGATCCGAATATAAAACATGAAATATTTCTTCCATCATACTGACGTGAGACTACCTTATTGAACACACGTACCTGTACGTTGTATCGTGTCATCAGTACTGAGAAGAATCCACAAGGTTGAAAGTGTGACAATCAAGTAGCGTTTTATTTTTTCATGTTTAACTATCCCTGAAATATATGGACTAGATGTTCCGTTCAGCTTTTCGTAAAAACAAATAAATATTTACCATTACGTCTCCTCTGTCGTTTGAAATTTATGTAAGGTTTTGTGATATGAAGCAGTGTTGTTTTGGTATCATTACTATACTTAGTATTTATTAATATTTTGAATTTAGTTTTATATTTTCCCTCTTCATTTTATTTTTAAAGTTTTAATCATTTTAGTACATTTAAAAAAAAAATATATATATATATATATTTACAATCTTATTTGTTAATATTTTGATTTCATTTTTTTTTGTTACATTTTTAATAAATTTTTTTTTTTAAATATGTCTT